CAACGCGACCGTGGGGATTTGTCTCCGAGCTGCTCTGCTGCTGTTGCTTCCTCCTTTGCTTCCTGGGTGGTCTCCTGGGTCTTCTGGCTTGATGTACTTCTTCTCTGGACTTGAGTCTTTAGTTTTGGTTGCTGGAATCCGCTCTCCAAGTCCTTGCATGATCTCCTCAACCTTTTCTTCAACTTCATCAAGAGCATAGACTACTTTGTCCATGCTTGAGTCAAGCTCTTCGGTTTTGTCAATGACTTTGTAAACCTTCTCTGAAACTTTGACTGTAAAGTCATAAGACTCGTTCTTAGCTTCGTTTAGGGCTTTGTCCACATCATCAAGTTTGAAATCCAGGTCCATGACTTTGTTTTTGGTGTTGCGAAACTCATAGGTGTGCTTTGCCTGCTCTTCCTCCATGTTGTTGAACCTGTTAGCGATCATAGCTGCGTCCTTGGTTGCTCGTTCTTCTATTGAATTGACTTGTGAGGTTAGGTTATCGATTTTCTCATTGAAAAGTTTTGATATCCCGTTAATCCTTTCGTTTAGAGCAGCTCTAGCGGTTGCTTGAGATTCTATGAACTGTCTGATCACGCCTTCGAGCTGACTCAATCTGTTGCTGAGCTGGACGTTCTCATCTTGCTGGAAAACCTGGTGAGGTAGGAGATACATAGAATATCTAGGGTTTGCCATTGGAGGTGCGTAGGGCTATTTCTGGAACGTTCTGTAGTCGTTGGTTCGAATTTCTTCGTAGAGATCGCGTAGATACTGCTTCTCTCTGCGTCTGGTGGCTTGAGGAGTGTTATAGAAACCTTCCTCATAGTGTGTATTTCGATCTATAGGATCCATATCTTCTGAAATGGAAACAGAATAACCAAAAAATGGAAATATGCAGAAAAGGGGGTTCTAGAGTCGATTTACCAACCTTTCTTGGGCTTTTGCGGAAAAGAAAACACGTGCCTTCTCCGGCAACGGCGCCAAAAACTTGATTGTGGTGTTGTGTGTGAGGGTTGTCAAGTTTTACCTTAAATGCAATCAATAGCCGCAAGTGCACAGCTGATCGACTGTAATACTTAGGGATCGAATCCACAGGGAAGGAGGATCTTTTCCTGCAAAAGCTTTTGAAAGAATTATAAAGTAAGGAAGTCTAGAACCAAACGGTTTTGTGGGTGTTTTGGTGGTGTGTTTAAAATGTAAAAACGAAATCTAAAAAGAAACTACAGAAATTAAATGGCCTAACAACAAAACTTAACGAAAATGAATGAAAATTAGAAAAAACGGATATTCTAATTGCTTAAATGAAAATATACTAAAAATGAATGAAAATATTGAACTAAAGCTTGAAATAAAAACGGTGTGAATCTATAGGAAAGAAAGCGTTGTGGTTCAGGGAAGTTTTCTCAAGGGTACGAACGATTCAAAACATTGCTAGAGAGTAAATTTTATAAGATCTTAGCTTAAACTTTTCGAACTGGAGGCACGGACGTATGAATACGCCACTGTCGTGATCATAGACAACTATCTCTCTCAACCCTGACCAGTAGGTTTCCACTCTGGCTCTGGAAGAGAAGAGATGCATTATGTTTAAGACTTGTCAGCATTCACAAATCGCCCATAGGTAGGTTTCCACTCCTATGGTTGTTTTGCTCTCCCAAACTAGATCTGATACCGGATGAACACTTTCGTGTCACCAAGCATCTGGATCAGATTGTAGTTCATGACGCTACTCTCATGCAGTAAAAACGAATTCAGAAGAAAAAGTTCTAAGATTCGGCTCAAAAGCTCATGGAATCCTCATCGAACATATAAATCCCCATCGAAAAATCCCTTTATCCCAACAATAAAACTACTCAGACACAATGAACAAAATCCAAAACATAGTATTAATAAGTAGAATAGAAACCGAAATTGAAAAAGAAAGAACAAGGGTTCAAGAGACAAATCTCTCTCTTCCTAAAAGCTAAAACTTAAAAAGTATTATAAAACAATAAGAAAAATAGCATATCCCCCCGAAATAGGGTTCCTAAGACATGTATTTATAGAGCTCAAGACATCTCTGGACGTCACTTAGGGTTTCTCCAAATGAGGGAATCATTGTGGGCTTCAGAAATGGGCCTTCGGGCTTGGAGTTGGCTTGCCGCGGTCGGGATGGCTGTGACCGCGGGAAATGGATGGCTGGCCACGGTCGCGGTGCTTCTGACCGCGGGAAATACTCTGTTGGCCGCGGGTGGAAACGCTTGCCGGCTGGTTTACGGGACATCTTGCTCTTCGCGTATCTTTTGAGTGAACCGTTGGATTGCCAAGCTGTAAAGTGTGCTGGAAAGCTGATACTTCCATCTTTAAGATCTCCAAATTTGAGCTGGATCAGACGGTGAGAAGGTCTTCAATCATGGGTGAACTTCTGACGGTTTGACTCTGAGTTGAAATCTGGTTTTCTATCCATTTTGTTAAGCTTTTCCCTAAGTTACCTTAAAAGAGTCTTGGAACTACAAATACTAGAAAAACGTAATAAAAGTACTTAAAAGCAATTAAAAACATAGAAAAATATTTTAAAATGGTCCATAAAAGTGGTCAAAATACGGTGTTATCAGCTTCATAGAAGATGTCCTTGTCGATATTGGGAAAAGAAATTCTCCTGTTGGGCCAATCCTTGATAGCTCCAGCAGTTGCTAAGAAAGGCCATCCAAGAATAACTGGATATGAGTCATCTTTGGTATTCACTATGTATAAATCGACAGGTGCTATGCAATCTCCAATCTATAGAGGAATGTCTCGGGCTATCCCTCTTGGTTTTGCACTTGAATCATCTGCTAAGCTAATCTTTGTTCTGGTACTTGAAATGTGCTTAATGTCAAGTCTCAAAGCAGTAGGTTTGGACATCATGTGCAGCTCCAGAATTACAAAGAATGTTAAGAAATATTTCACCTTTAATGTCACAAGAGATAAGAAATTGACCTTTGTCTTTAACTTTGTGCAGAGTTCGAACTGGTCTGCCATCTTGGGCGTGTGTGAACAATTTTTTTTTGTTTTTTGAATATGTTTTTTGTAGTCTCTGAACTACTTGATTGAACTCTTCAAGTGCTTCTTTGCTGATCTTGTTTCTGTAGTTACTAGCTTCTTGGGGATCTTTGAGGTGGATCCTATAAAAGCTGCATCAGGTGATGATATAGGAAAAGATAGATACCTGGCTCTTCTGAAATAAGTGTAGATGTTCTCCTTAGTCTCCTTGCTGTATCTGAAGAAAACTTGAAGGCAGCGTTGCTTCCAGATGTCTGGCCACAAGGGGTCGATTTTCTGATGAACAGTGATGAGGCCATCGAACCATCACTAGACCCAAAGATTGTTCCCGAGCTCAAAGAAGCACCCATGACCTGTTCCAAAGCAAGGAGGCTTATAGAAGGGTTCAACTTGGCCGTGGAATCATTTCTAAGTACCATGGAACTTGGAGATGCATTCAAACCCGTGTCTCAAGAGCATTACACGCAAGACGGCCCCAAAGGACCCGATTTAGATATAATGGAGGGTTTCGCGCGTCTGAGCCTCAAAGAGAGCCAGCCTCAACTAGAACCAGGTATACATGTTTACTTGGCAGGAAATGGAGCACGGAACACCAAGAATCTCGAAGAGACTGCATTGGACCCTCAAGATACAACCGTTTCAAGACTCGTGGCCGATAGCGAGCAAATGAAACAAGAAGAGGAACATGAAGTGGGACGCGTGAAGATACTTGAAGAACTCGCAGGACATAACGTTAGCAGGACTCTAGACGGAGAAGACATCAAGACTAACGAAGAAAACCTCAAGACTAACGAGCTACCCACTGACATATCAAGCAAGCCCACAACCGGCGAAACCAGGTATTTTCCATTTATACGATCTGTGCAGGTAACATGGGAATATCCTAGTGGTGTCTAACACACTAGAGAGTATCATAGGTGCACGGAACAAGTCCAGAAAAGGTTGCACACGATTAGTTTCTTTTCCTTTTTAATTTTAAGTGAACTTTCTATTTTTGTGTCCAAATGAGACGCTTTGCCATTTTACTTTATTTCTTTTTACAAGTCCTGTTGTTTTGAGTCCTTAGTGTCGTTTTTATTTCTTTGAGTCAAACTCTAGAAGGTTCAAACACTGTTCATAAACTCCCACTCAGCTCTTGCACTTTAACCTTTTTTCCCGATATCAATAAAATAACCATGTTTTTCTTAGCTTGTGTCTAAGAACTTCTTGCTTGATCTTACGTGTGTGATTCACCAAGAGTTGAGCCGCAGTATCAGAGATCCTCACGAGAGAGTGCCATAGCCCGCGTGTTGATCCCACCAAGCCATCGATTCCGCAATCTTATAAGTCTCACCCGAGTCTTATATCAAACAGTCTTCAGGAAGAGGTTGAAAGCTCTACCAATCTGAAGAATCATGCTCCACCGCGGGTGAGGAGCTTGGAGCCGCAGTGGAAGTGAATCCGGCCGTGGGTGAAGTGCTTCCAGTCGCGGTCAGCTTCGTCCGGCTCTCCATGCTTGCTTCTTTAATTTCTTTTTCTCCGTTGTTGTGCTCTTGCTTCCAGTGGTTGTCAGGCACGTCTTGGGTGTCCAAATCATTGATTCCAGATTTCAGATCATACTCCTTATGACCTTTAGAAAGTTTTCAACTTTCTCTTCTACATCATCTAAAGCATAAAAAACTTTATCTAAAGTAGCATCAACCTCTTCTGTCTTGTTTGTGATCTTTTCCATCTCTTCAATTATCTCTAACTTATCTCCATTAGAGCACCACTTGCGGTCTTTGAAATCTCTCTTCAAGTGTTCGATCAGGACACTACAGCTTCTTTGTTCTTTAAGTGCACGAAAGAGTGACATCGCATTCTTTGCCTCCCCTTCTTCAACATTTTTAAGTCTCTGTTCTAAAATTGCATTATCCTTAAGCTTTTGTTCCTCCTGAGTCTTCAAAAGATTAGAGAGAGACTCAAACTTCCTGCTAAAGTCAGAGGATATCGATTCCAGTTTCAAACCAAGGTTAGATTCAGCAAAGGGCGATGCTGTTCTTAGCCTCGCCTTCTTTGATGTCTTTAAGTCTCTTCTCTAGAACTGCATCATCTTTGAGCTTCTGCATTTCTAGAGTCTTCATTCGGTCAGAGAGACATTCAAACTTCCTGCTAAAATCAGAGGACATTGATTCCAATTACACAAAAAGGTTAGACTCAGCAATGGGTTGTAGATCAAGAAACTCATTCACTGTAGTGTCTAATCGATCTAGTTGGAGCCTAAATCGATCAGCCTCAGCGTTTTGGTGCATAATCTGATGAGGAAGAGGATGAGATGGTCGACGGTTCACCAGGTGTGGCGAATAGGGCTCATCTCAGTGGTGTGGAGGACGCTAGTCTCCATGGTGGTGGTTCGGATTAGGGTTCCAAAGATGATGATCAAAATCACGCCTGGAGGGTGATTCACATGCGCAGAGATCTTCACACAGGTCGTAGGACCTTTGCTCCGTGTTAGGGTTTCTTCTTGAATGATCCATGCTTCAAAGGCTTCTGAAACTAGGGCAAACAGAAGAGAGATTAGCAGAAAAACAGAAAGTTAGGGTGTCTATGAATATTGGTTTACTTCCTATGTTGCTTTGGAAGAAACTCGACATATATATAGTCGTCTCCGGCTTCAACCTCCCAGATTTAGACACTACAAGAAAACAATTGTTTTCCAACGGTTTGTTACGACAATTTACTAATCGTCGCAAATATACGACGATTTTACGATGTTTTGTGCTTCGTAAAATTGCCGTAAAATCATCATATATTTGCGACGATTTGTAAATCGTCGTAACAAACCGTTGGTTGTAGTGTCTAAACCTGGGAGGTTTAAGCCGCAGACGACTATATATATATCGAGTTTCTGCCAAAGCAACAACCGTCGTAAATATATTCGTCATAATGCCGTCGTACAACTTAGGACGATTATACATCGATAAAGAGATATTTGATATTTATTGCAAAATCGTCGTAAATTGGATGTAACATTACGACGAATTCATGATGACATAATCCGATGTACAATTACAACGAATATATGTCGCCAAAAAAGGTAGGTGAAAACCATTTAAAACATGTTCACCTAACTAATGTCGATGAAATATTGTATCGCACAATCGACGTAAAATCGTCGTAATATGAAGGTTGGATGTAAAAGCGATGTAAAATTTCGTCGTAAAAGCGTTCTAATGTCCAAAATTTTCTTACAAATACATATTCATTTCTTTTATTCACAACACATCATCATTCAAACATAAGAGCATCATAATCCTGGAGACCCATTTTAGGTCTCCTAAAACTTATTATAGTGTTGTAAAACCCGATATATTGGGTTGTCCTTTGCTGGAAACCCGAATTAGTAGTTATTTCTTTGAAAGAAGAAGTAATAATATTAAAAGGTTTCTCCATTCACACGGCTTCACGGGACACAAGAGACTGTCTCTTATATTGTCTAAACAATAGAAAGAGATTGTTTTTTTTTGAGTTATTTTCAAGATGTCTATATATGAGCTAAGAAGCTGGATGTATATGCGTAGCGATTCAGATGGGGCGTTGACAGAAGAATTCAAGAACGGGTTAGAAATATTCATGTATCAGGCGACAGATATGGAGAGAACGAAAGAAACCGGCAAGATGTTTTATCCTTGTTTGAATGGAAGAATACAAGATATACACTAACCAATACCGTGTGGACGCATTTATTAAATAGATGGTTTATGCCGCAATATTTTGTTTGGTATCGACATGGAGAAGGATATGGCCGTAAGACCATCTCCAATGTAAATCTCCATTTTTTACTCAAAAATGGAGTAACTCCAAAATGGAGTTGTGTTTTGCTCCAATGTATGACTCCATTTTTGTCTCCAAAAAAGAATATTCCTAATAAATTTTATTTTTCTTTTACTTTTAATAACCTATAACTTTTAGAAGTTACAAAATAACCTATTTATTTTTATTTTATCTAAAATATTTATAATTTACGAATTTAATAAAATAAAAATATTTATTAAATAAAAATATTACATAAAATCATAAAAGCATAAGAAATTTTATTAAATAAAGAAAAATACATAATATCATAATACTTAGGAAATTTAAACAGCACAATTACTATATTTTTCCCACAAATGATCAATTAATGCATTTCGAAGTGAAAAATGAGCTTCTTTATCTTTGATTTCTCTAAATCGACGGAGAAACTCTTGGAACTTGATATTGTCATCATCAACTATTTGAAATTCTGGAGGTGGAGCTTCTCTTCCAATTTCAATTGGTGCTTCGAGATCATGCTCATCCTCAATTATCATGTTATGTAAAATGACACATGTAGTCATTATGTCGTGTAACACGTTTTAAGGCTATGTTTTATTTTTGATGTGTAGAGGAATTGTATTCCTACTTTTTGAATAGTAACATTTTTGTTTTTTATTGATATGCAGTTCAGTCAAGCCAAACTAATGCTACAAGAAGATCCAAAGTTCAAAACAGGTTGGAGATTTGAACATGTTTGGAATATTATTATTAACTTTGAAAAGTTTAAAGATGGTGCCGATCCTAAACGCATATTAATCCCACCTCGTGTCGAGTATACATCGTTCGAGTCTGGAAATTCCATTGATTCTCCTACACAAGCATCTCCAGGTTTGTCTTCATTTTCTTTAAACTTAGATGATACTGATGAGCTTACTAGCGGATCTCCCTCTCCACGACCAATGGGGATCAAGAAATTCAAAAATAAAAGAAAACTTGTTGATCAAACAACATCAGTTATCAACACTTTAGAAGAAGGAAATAAACAACTTTTGGAGCAATTAAAGAAGACAACTGCACAAAGGCAAGATCATCTGGAGATTCAACAGAAAAACTATGCTTTGAAAGAGCTGAAGATGGAAAACAAAATATTATTTTATGACATGAGTTCCATATCAGATCCAAATATTCGTGCATATGTTCAAGGCGAACAAACAAAAATTTTACAAAAGCGGAATGCTCAACAACAAAATCAAGAATTTCTTCCTCCATCAACTTCGTTTGGACAATATTTTAATGATATTAGTGGATCAGGAAGCGATTTAGCAGAATATTAAATTGTTTGTATTTGTTGTGTTAAATGTTTATGTTTATCTTTGATTTTAGCACTTGTTGTGTATTTTTCAGTTTATTTTAAGTTGTAATATTTTGAAATAAAAATTTTAGTGTTCAAATATTTATGATTGTTTATTTTATATTTTTTTAAACTATTAAAGTCCTATAATCTTGTCAAAAAATCTTATAAACATGAATCATAAAATAAAAACTTAATTATTAAACCGATAGTTATATATATATATACATGCATAAAGACCATTTTTTAATTTTATATATATAAAAGTCAAAGTGATATGTGTCATACAAATATTAAGTGTATATCTGAAAACAAAAATTCATATAGCCATATATAATGTCGAAAATAATGCTGTGTTGATAAAAAGTATAAAACTATAATGATTTAATATTTTAAGGATCAGATTGTAAATAAAAAAAGTATAGCTGTAAAATGGAGTACAATAAAGGTTTACTCCAAATATGGAGCAATCTCTATTTTTTCTCCATTTCGCAGTCAAAAATGGAGTAGGGTTGGAATGAAATTTACTCCAAAATAGAGTTTGCAGCAAAAAATGGAGTAGGGTTGGAGATGCTCTAATACTCATGGAAATGCTGGTAGTAGTGGTAATTATCAAAGTCATGTTGATTTTGACGATTCAAATTATGGTCATCAGCGTAATCAGTATCAATCTGATCAAGGTCTAGATCATGATAGAATGCATGAGATGGTGACTGATGTATTTCATGAAACGCATGCTGATAATGCTGTTGAAGAACTTGATGTAGATGCCAAATTATTTTATGATATTTAGACAATGCTAATCAGCCAATCTACAAATGATGTAGAGAAGGTCTGTCTAAATTATCGTTGGCAGCTAGGATGATGTTAATTAAAATATATCATAACCTGGCTGAGGTTTGCATGGATGATTGGGCTGATCTTCTGAAAGAGTATCTACCGGAGGATAACTCGGCAGCGGCAACATAATATGAAATACAGAAGTTGATTTTTAGTCTTGGTCTACCTTCTGATATGATAGATGTATGTGTTGACAATTGTATGATTTTCTGGAAAGATGATGATCAGCTGGAGGAATGTCGATTTTGCCAAAAACCAAGATACAAGCCACAAACTGGTGGGCGTAAAAGGATACCGTACCATTGTATGTGGTATCTCCCTATAACTGATAGGTTGAAATAGCTTTATCAATCAGAAATGACAGCTGCATCAATGAGATGGCATGCAGAACATACACAAGTAGATGGTGAAGTTGTTCATCCATCAGATGCAAAGGCATGGAAACACTTCACTACGGTATACGTAGATTTTGCTAAGTTCAAACGGAATGTCTATCTTGGTCTGTGCACTGATGGTTTTAGTCCATTTGGTATGTCTGGTACACAATATTCATTATGGCCAGTAATCCTAACCCCTTATAACCTTCCTCCAGATATGTGCATGCAAAGGGAATTTTTTTTCCTTAGTATTTTGGTTCCAGGTCCCAATCATCCGTAGCGAGCTCTCGATGTATTTCTGCAGCTACTTATACATGAGTTGAATCAGTTATGGTATACCGGCGTTCGCACATATGACTACTCAACAGGAAAATGTTTTACTCTGCGGGCTGTGCTTATGTGGACAATCAGCGATTTCCCCGCTTATGGTATGCTATCAGGATGGACTACCCATGAGAGGTTATTTTGTCCTTATTGTCTTGATCGAACTGATGCGTTTCAGCTAAAACATGGTAGAAAAACCTGTTGGTTTGATTGTCACCGCAAGTTTTTACCGGATAACCATCCATATTGGAGGAACAAGAGGTTATTTAGGAAGAACAAAAGTGTACATGTCCCTCCACCTGTAAACTTAACCGGAGCTGATATACATGCGCAAATCAAGCATTGGGGGGCAGAGGAAACAGTACCCCGTGGGGGAAACTGGCACACTCTTGCAAATATGCCTGAAGGTTATGGAGTTCATCATATGTAATTGGCACAAAAAAGTATCTTTTGGCAACTACCCTATTGGAAAGATCATC